TTATACAATCTTTTCAACTGACAGAGTCTGACAGAGCTTAAACACGGTCTAATGTTTAAGGCCATGATGGCAAACCTACGGCATATCAGAGATGGCACGCATGCCCTTGCCAGCTGCTCTTCTGGTTTCCAGTGCACACATGTGTGCCAGCCAGATGGTCTTTGCAGATGCCAGAATGCCAAAAAACGGCCTTAAAATAGCCCAGAAAAGAGCCAAAAAACCCAGGCCATTTTGGGGCCCTTTTTTTGGGCTGTTTTCCGGCCATTTTTCTTTGCAGGCACCAGAGCAGCTAGCTGGTCTTTGCGGGTGCCAGTGGGCCAAAAAATGGCCTGAAGAACAGCACAAAAAATGGCCTGAAAATAGCCAAGAAAACTGGCCAAAAAACAGACATGCCCATACTGGCCAGCTGGTCTTTGGGTTTCCAGTGCTCTGGCGCATGGATGTGCGCACATGCACATCCATTCCAATTTCTGAACTCAGTGCTGGAAAGATTAGTCATCACTGGTTTAAGGCATCCATCTAGAAACTGGGAAACTGTGAGTTCTAGTACTGCTTTAGATATGAAAGCTGGGTGGGTGACTTTGAGTCAGTCACTCTCTCTCAGCCCAACTCACTTTACCAGGTTGTTGTGGAAGGGAAAATAGGAGGAGGAAAGTTTTGGTTGGCTACCTTGAGTTATTTTTAAAAAGTAATAAAGATAAAATTAAAATTAAAATGTAATAAAAGTTATACATGGCACATCCATGTATTTTCTTTCTATGTAAATTTGTATTCTGAATTCAAGTAGCTGAGTAGAAACATAATCCTGCATTTTGAAATTGCTTAGAAATGCTGCACATGATTCCAGTATCAAAAGAACATCCAGTTCAAAGAACATCCACTACCAGCAGCTCTAAAGGTAAATTGGAGTTGGATATCAATATTTTCTCAGCAAGTTGAAGGGCTTTTAAGGTCTTTCACCCTTTCCTAAATGTCATCAGAACACCTAAGGCATGTAAATGCATTTTATTATCTCTGTTAGAAAGTTATTAAGACTTGCTCTCAGAATATAAACACTGTGTGAAGATCACCATCACACAGGTACAAGTCTTACTATGTTTGGACTAGCCTAAACAATTTGAACACCTCTGCACCAATACCACACATTTGGAAACTCCCACGTGAGCAAAGTAAGACATAAAGTCTTTTCCCCAACCTTATGGTCTCATATGATCTAGGTCTAGAACTTCAATTCAGCCAGTACTGGAGGTTGGTTGGGAATCACATAACAAATATATGTAAAAGGTGCTAAATTGGAGAGTGATAACTGCTAAAATAATATATGGTTACATATTATGGTACTTTATAATATGTGTTGGTATTATGTGTTTTAAAGCATTCAATGGAATCACTGGGACTTTCATATTAACTTGTTCCATAAAGGACTATGAAAATTATCAATTATGAATATTATTTTCTCATCCCCATTAACATGTAAGCCTTTCTTATCTCCCTCTTTTATAAAGTTACATATTGCCTTAAGATCTTAAAATTTATCTTTAGGAAGATTCTTAGTTATATGTTAAAGCATACAAATTTCACATTTCTAACATGTCTGTGTAAAACAGAAATTGCTCTCATTTTTGTTCTGCCGCAACAAAATATTCAAACTCCATTTCTAGTTTGTGATTTTATTAAAGAGAAGATTGACTGACTTACTTTATAGGCATTCCAAAAAGAGAACTTCAAACTGCAGCTTTGTTTACAGGTTTTTAGGGCTGTAGTAACCTGCAACCAAGACTTTAGTATGAAGCAGAATAAAATAATTCTTAGGTTTTGAAGAAACAAGCAGTTTCTGAAATATAGTACGAGATCAACATAAGATATTCTCCTGAGTTTGTCCATTATAAATGTTGCTAGCCATAATAACTATTGGTACTTTTAAAGTTTGAAAGTATAATGCATTTTAATCAAAGAAATGAGAACCTCTTCTTGAGATTCTGATTTCAAAAGTCAGAAAAATGGCATTAAGATTGGAAAATCAAATCCAGATACCATTTCTTTTCCAGTGTTACTATTCAATTCAGGAAGGAACCTAATGTCTGGCTTGATTAGCAACTTTCAATATCCCTTATCATACTTCTGCTGGGAATTCAGGTAGAAAATAATAGTTTCCTACATTTTCTTAAGCCTAGACAGGATTATATTAGAGAAGCAAATAGCTATTATTTAGTTCTTCCTTAGCATTATTGTGGTAGGCGCTGTAACATCATAAAAGTAGCACAGCCTTTCCAAGAGGATTTTTATCAAATTGATGTCACAATGGCTCCAAAAGAAAGTAACAGATAATAAAAGTAAATAATTTAGCCTATAAATAATAAAAGACTGCTTCTAGGCACAGAAAGTGTTAGGAGTAACTGAGCAGATGGAAAAGTACAACCATTAGTGCAATCTATCAAACAGAAATTTTGTAGAGTATTTCACATATACACCTATGATGTTCATCACCACTTGGGGTTGTTCTTTCACCTGGGATTTAACCAATTCCATTTGGAAGACTGCTGCGCAAGCATTCCATATAGATCAGTGTTTCTCAACCTTGGCAGCTTGAAGATGCATGGAATTCTGGGAGTTGACGTCCACCCATCTTCAAGCTGTAACGGTTGAGAAACACTGATGTAGATAAAAGACTGCATATGAGAAATTTCAACAGCACACACCAGGAAAGGCCTGTATTAAGTCATCCAAAATCAATTTTAAAGCAGCAAGTAACTGAGGAAAAGGGGAACTTCCATCAATTTCTATATGAATGGAACTAACTAAAAGTAGAGAAAAATACTATTTATTCCTTATCAACAATGAAAGTATTAGGGTTCTTCTATTTGTTGTTGTTTTGTCTTCTGATTTGGAGGGGAAAATCCTCATTGGGGAGTGCACAATGATTTCTCACATAAGTGAAAGCACTATATGAGGATAAAGGCCTCCATTACTAATATTTTCATTACCATAGAAAATAAGGTTCATGAACCTCCTAAGAGCTTTGGAATATAGATTTCCAATTCCTCACCAGTGAATACACATCAGAGTACTAATGAGATCTATAACATAAAAGATCTGGAGTCATCTCTGATCTAGAACATTAAAGAATTATAAACCATAGCTATCAATGAAGATTTTCTTCTCCTGGTTACATCTAAAATTTCACAAAAGATAAAATGCCACCGTGGCTTATATTCTTTATAGTTCTCCTCTGACCTGGTAAATTATAGTAAGCTTTTAATATTCACTGTTGCTCCGTAACTAATGCATATCAAGATACAGTTTAACAATAAGACTTACACATCAAGTGATTCAATATGTTTCATTGTCAATAATGATTCTGCGTTCACTCACACTGTTGTCATAAAGTATTTGTGCAGGCCTTCAAATCAAGAATGCTATCACTGAACAGTCACTTATATATTTATGAAGCCTAATATATTAAAAATTATTGTTAATGATGCACTTTGTTTAAATACAAGTTCTTTACAGGTACACCATTGTCCAGGTTTTGGCAAATCCAACTCCAATGAAATAGCCCCCAAAATCTACTTCATAAACTATAGTTATTTCACAGACAATATAACAGACCAAGTCTTCAAATATTGTAAAGTTTCAGAGCAGCTTTTATTGAATGATGTGTGCTCAGGATACTACTTTTCCTACAACTTTTGCTGGTTTTTCCATTTCCATGAAAGAAGAATTTCAGGTTTTTAGGTAGAAGCACTTTTACTCAGGTATAAAATGCTCCCATCAGCTTTTCATCCTTTCACACTATAGCTGAAAAAAGGTGTATCAGATTTTTTGGCAGCAATATCAACACTTTGCAATACTTTCCCATTTTGAATAAACTACAAATTATACTTGAACATAAACTATAATTGAAAATGAACTATCAACAAGATAGCACTGGAGCGCATGCTTTGATCAACATGACCTCTGCCAGATTTTTGTTTGGTTTTTCCTCTACTGTAGTTTCCAGAAAGCCACTGTGAAAACTTTGAACAGATATTTATCTTTAAAAGCAAGGGCTTCTATAACCACAGAAGTCATTCTAATCTTTAACTACTTTTAATGTTTCTTCTTCCCTCCCAACTCCCAGAGTTATCAGAAGATGCCAATTTAGAATGTGATTCACACCAATTTCTCAGGATATCATGCCTAATATTTATCTTTCCATGTGAACTTTTTTCCACAGGCCTTATTTGAGCAATTCCTGTAAGCAAAAAATACCACCCACATGAAGAGCAATTTCTCTGGTTTTATGAAAGCACCTTATTTGCTCAAGCAGTATGAAAGAAACATACTCATGTCATTTATTACCTTTTAAGAGCTTCAGCAGGGTTTCTCTCACATTCCCCAGGTTGCAGGAGACTTTGAACAGCTGGATCTCTCACTTTGTCTTCGTAACCCTGAATCAATCCACTCTGACAGATCTGGGCAACTAAGCCTCTAATAAACCTCCCCACACAGAGCGTATCAGAGTCCTGGGCCCTGCAAAAATGGAAAGCTAGTGCTTGGTGATGTAAACCTCTTTGTAAGTTTGCAGGTGAGCTTGGCCATAATAATTCAGTACAAACTGCTGTCTTGCCACTACCAGGACCTCCTACTAACAATACACCCCAGGATGCTCCCTTGGCAGGGACAACACAAGCATTAGACCCAGAATTCAGCACAATGGACGGTTTGTTGGCAGAGCTATTGCTGAAGCTTGTCTTTTCCTGGAGGCAGTGCTGTAGTTTGTGAAAAACCCATTCTCTGCAATAAAACTGTTTCCCCTGCAGCAAGCTGGTCTGAGCCATTTTACAGTCCAAATCAAGAGCACATCTTAGGTTTCACTGAAGACAACAGATTCTTAAATCCAAGCCAAAGTGCTCGTTGCATGAAACTATGCCACAGGACAGACTGCAATCCACAAATCTATTCATGCCTTCACATAAGTCAGTGGCATCTTTGGGCAAGAAGCATCTTTCAATCCAAATATGACTGATATTGTTTTGCTGGAAATCCTTTTTAGAGGTATAGCTATGTTTGTAGCAAAGCTCAATGATGCATCGTTTAAAAGGTTGCACAATGCCATGACTACAGTTGCACTTTACAATGCTGCATGCTATTGTGAGTCAATGCATCTAAAGTAGAGATAACATGCAAGAATTCCCACATTTCTTCTCTAAATTCCAGTCATTTCCAAATGTATGTGGCTTTTAGATTCCCCAGATTAGCGCCTTCTAAAAGCAGATCATTTTTTCCTTCAGCAAATGCAGCATATATTGCAAACAAATGGATATGCCTCATTTAATATGTAGATTTCCAAAGTTCATACAAGCTCTGTAGTCCAAACCCGTCCTTAAATCATGCTGCTTCATGGACCAAGTAGAGTAGAAATAGAAGAACTTTTCTTCCCAGGGCTTTCTTTGTCATCCCGTGTTCCAGTAAACCTCTGCTAGTTTCCAATTGCAACCGTCAAACCACAGGATTTCTGTCCTGGCCTGAGAATAAAAGTACCAAACATTTGTCAGCTTATACATAACAGTAAACTTCATTTTGCATAATAGAGCCACTCATCTGTATAATGTACAAACAGGAAGAGCCCCCAAATCTATTCTCTGCATTCAAGCTAGCAAGTCAAAGATGCTGGAATGAACGATTCATAATATATATTACCCTATGGTAATATAGCCAATAAATTTTACAAAGAAAGAAGTAAACATGCAGTATTTCCCCATCTCTCCCAAACAAGAAGCATTAAAGCTTTGCAGATACCACCTAGAATTACATTCCTGTCTTCTATGCCCAAGGCAAGTGACCTTGAAACCATGCAAAGCCCCATCTCATTCTGAAAACAGACTTCCAGTTCCTCGCCCCTGAGATTTTGCCATCTGCACCTCCCTCCGTACCTGCTTCCCCTTTCATACCTGGGGACTTCCCTTACAGTTTTTCTTAGCCTTCTTTGTTCATAGCCTGGAAGCCTTAAGGAAACGCCGGCGCTTTCCAAAGCCACGTTTGAACTTACTGTCCGGCTCCCCCTCCCGCTCCCTTCGCATTGTCGCTCTGCAGCGTGCCGTTTCTGTCATCTGCTCGGCTGCTTCCCTTACAGCAACGCTTTCTTTTCATCCGTCCCCAGGCTTTTGTCTCCCAAAGCCTCACACACAGCCAGCTTCGCGTTTCAGCTGATATAAAACTGGCAGGACGCAACAAGCCCCTTTTTCACCCCGCTCTATTCTCTATCTCTCTCCCCTCCTCTGGATTCAATGGGGTTTAGGAAATCCCCCCTCCTCACACACTCCCTCTTTCTCTCTATCTCTCTCCCCTCCTGCTTCTATCTAGAGGCGTTCAAGGCGTTTTGGCCAAGGGAGAAGAAATAGGGCGCAAGGCGGAGGAGGCCGAGGGAAAAAGTGGACTCAGCCGAACGACCGAAAGGGCGGCCCGTCTGCTTCTCGGATCCACCGCTCGACAGACACACGCCCTGTCCCCATCCCCCCCCCCACGCCTGCCTCCTCCTCCTCCTCCAGCGCCAGCACAACGGAGACCTTACAGAGGGGACACGCACACAGGGCTCGGCAGCAGAGAGAGAGAGAGAGAGCGAGCTGGACGGGCGATCGCTGTGTTCCGCCTAACTCCGATTGATCCCCTTGGCTTTCGATCTTCGGCTCTTGAGGCAGGGGAGGGAGGCGGAAGGGGGAGCCAACAGAGCCCGGTTTCTTCGTTGCTCTACCCCACCTCCCCAACTTGGATAACACGCTCTCCCTTCTTGCTAGTTCGCCAGATTCCGATTGCAAACACGCCCCACGACTGACTCCTTTCCGGGTCCCGATGCTTGTTTTCACTCTCCTCCCTTCCCCTTTCTCCGTTTTAAACACCGGGGCTAAACCGAGAGGACCCCGGCGATCCAACCGAGGAAGCTACGCCCACGTCGTTCAGATTCGCCCGGCCAGCAAAGCGACCGAGGCTGCGGGGGACAAACGAGTGGAACCTGGAACAAGACAAAGCCGGGAAGAGCTCGGGCGCCTGCAGAGTTCCGCGCAGAAGCCCAGCCAAAGGTTACCGGATGCAAGAAAGCGCGGACGCTCTTGCGAGGGTCTCTGGCGTCGAGGCAGGAGAAAATGACAGGAAGGGCCCCTCGGAGAGTTTTCGAAAAGCCTAAGTAGCAAAAAAAAAAAAAAAAAAAAAAAAAAAGCCCCACTCGGGGCGAGACGACTCAAGAACGGAAAATCTCCAGCGCCCCTTCAGTCCTGTCCCTTCCCGACGCTGCCTTTGCACCGAGATAAAAAAAGGCTGTTTGGTGAGCAAGGGCACAAAACGGGCTCTTTGCAGAACCCGAAGGCGCCGCGCTCTCTTCCGCCCTCTCCGGGATCCCGGCCGCAAGAGTGGAGCAGGCTGCTTGCTGGCTCGGCGGCTGAATGCGGCCCCTTCCCTCCACACCCAGCCTGACCAAGGGAGGTTGGCAAAGGAGCTTTTTTATTCAGGTAGCGGCGCCCGCTGTTCAATTACCTCCCTCGCTTCCTCTTCTTTGGACGAGGCGGCACTAGCAGCAGTAGCTGCTTGGTCTTCCCTTCCCCTCAAGCCGCTCCCCCAAGGCGGGCGAAGGCTGAGACAAGGCGTGGCCGCCGCTCTTTCCCCCGCCGCAAGCCTAGCGATCACACGCAGCGCCGGCCCTTCTGAGCCCCAACAGCTCCGACGCCAGGCACCCTCCGCCCCTTTTCTCTTCCGTCCCTCGTTTAACCTGCCTCATTCCCCCGCCTCCTGCTCGGCTCTCAAGCCACGCCTTCCGCTCTTGGCCACGCCTCTTTCGTTCCGGGTGGAAGCCGTTTTGTGTTTGGGCGGGGAAGGGGCGTGGTTTAGCCTCAGAGATGCTACTTCACATCACCTGGGAAAGGGTGGGAAGGCCCACTACCGGCTGAGTAACCCGCCTGGCTGGCATATTGCCTTTGCTTGCTTGCGTTCTCTAGGCCCCCTTTCAATTCCCTTTGCCATTTTTACTTCTTTGTGCATTTATAGCAGGACTTTTTTTTTAACTACCTGACTTGCTCTGAAGTAAAAAGCAGCAAAACAATCTGCCTCATAACATAGAGATTGGTCCTTATACTGGAACATTTTTTAATTTTTTTAAAATCTCAGAGGGAGAGGATATGGGGAAAAGTAAGATTCAGGCTTACAATCTCTAAATTAATTTTCCTAGAAGCTTTTTTTGACATAGCAATAAAGTTTTGTTCTTGATACCAAAATGATAGTGGTTAAGGGACCACACTGAAAACCTGGAAACTGGGACTTTGAGACTCACCTTAGGCATGAAAGCCATCGTCTATCAATTTCAGACAGCCAAACCACCTTCTTGTTATGGAGAAAATAGGAAGAGGAATAGGTATTGTGTGCATTCCCTTCCTTGAGGCATTTATAAACATAATGGTAAGATATCAATAAATTTCCAACCACAACTTCTGTTGTTAAATGAAACACATCTGAGTTTATGGCTTTTCTGCCACAGTTGTTAAGCGAATCACAGTAGTTGTTAAATAATAAATTTATTTTGGACTTCTTGGGATGAAAGGAGATTTGCAAATATTTTACAACTTCCTTGCATTTTTAATATATTTTATACAAAGCAGCCACAGGGAATGGGAACAGGTCAAAGTTTACAAAAGACATTTTACTAAATTAAAGAAAATCTGAACTACACAACACTTTTTGCTGAGAGAGATAAGTACAAATCTGTTGTTATTGTTAAACCAAATTCAGAATTGTTTCTCAAACAATTAACAATTCTGTGGATCTACATATCCTTGCATAACAAATCTATAATTCCTAAATTTTATGTATTAGAAAGGAAGCAAATACGCAAACCTGTGTATGTTTATAAGTGCCATAGTTCCTTGTTTTGTATCATTTGTGTCATCTGTTGAATGTACAGTATGTATGATTTGATTTGCTCTGTTATCCTCAGTGAAACTTCAAATAACAGAGATAAGATATAAAATGAAAAATGCCTTCTTTGATCATTATAACCAGATTAGATTGAAAAAGTATATTGGAAGTAATCTAGTATAAGCCCTCATTCCAAATGTTAAAGGCACATGGAGTAGGGAATTTCCCCAATTTTGTATATGGTAAGTGGATGAATCATTACATTTTTATTAGGTAATAAAATTAGGTAAAAGTATTTGGGGAGAATGCCAAAGTCAACAGTGGCCTTAACAATGAAGTGGTAGCTTCAGGTTGAAGATTTTATAGCACTGTCTGAGAACATATGAAATTTAAACAGTGAACTGTGCCCAAAGTCATTAGTTGCTACGCATGTCCAAATGCGTTAGCTTATACAGATAGTCCTCAACCTACAACAGTTCATTTAGTGACTGTTTAAAGTTACAACAGCACTGGAAAAAGTGAATTATGACAATTTTTGACATTGAAGCATCCCCATGGTCACGTGATTTACATTCGGATACTTGACAACTGGTTCTTATTTATGACGGTTGCAATGTCCCAGGATCGTATGATGACTTTCTGACAAGCAAAGTCAATTGGAAAGCCAGATTCCTTTAACAATGGTGTCACTAATTTAACAACTGCAGTGATTCACTGAGCAAATGTGGCAAAAAAGTCATAAAATGGGGCAAAAGTCACTTAACAAATTTCTCACTTAGCAAATAAATGTTGGGTTCAATTGTAGTCGTAAGTCAAGGACTACCTGTATTGGCAAGTGAATATTACTCAGGTAATAGCAGCCCTCTTAGTGGATGATATAATCAAGTTATACTTAAAAGAGAACAGTCAGGATTATTATGTATTCTTTGCACAACAACTGCTTTGTCAGTTACCATGCTATTTTCAAATTTGCCCTTTGGGAAGTGAGTAAATTCTTACTCAGCCATAGCAGGCATTCCTGGGAATTAAAATTTGCCTTTCCTTTCAATTTATAACTAAAGATGTTAAGGTGTTCAGAGAAAAAGAAGCTGTAAATTTTGGTTTATGAAAAAAAAATACTTGATCTTATCCTGTTTTTCCCTCCAACCTGGAAATGTATAAATTGCTACATTGATTGTAGTCATGAACATGCTATTAGAGAGAAGGATAAGTCCAGAACTAGCTTAAAATTGGGTATGTTAAAAATTCAGAATAACATCCAAGATATTCTTTTTCAAGATGATGAAGCAACATAAAATAGTTTTTATAGAGATTATTTTTAGAAATTGCCTCAGTTACCGTAAGGCTTACAATAAAAAAATGTCACATCAGGGTGGGGTTCCACATCAGTAATAAAACTTGAAAAGCAAGAAAGACTTCAGTGAACAACTATTTTGAAAAAGAATTCTAATCATACTATGATACCTTCTGATATTACATCATGCTGAAATCTATCTCTTCACTACAAAGCTCTTGTGCCTGTTTGATACTTTCAGTTGGGTAAAATGCTGGATCTTAGGGCAAAACTTTGTCAGCAAGGATACAAGTGAGGCTTACTATGTGGCATCATTCTAATAAATTAAAATGCTAATAAATATTATCACAATACCAAAAAATCTTGATTGTTGAGTAGGCTGAATTAATGATTGTAGAACATTTCAGGAAAACATGCATGTAGCTTCCCACTACAATCCTAAACACTGCAATCCTAAATCCATTTATCAAGCAGTAAGTTTCATTAAATATATCAGGATATATTTCCAAGTGAATTTGGTTAGGAACACATTTAATTTTGATTGATTTTTTCTTAAATATGTAATATCTTAAATATTAATAAAAGTATTACAGTTTGAATTTTTTGGGATCAAAAGGAATACATGAAAGTTTATGCCAAGATAAACTGTTTTAGTTCTTAAAATGAATAAAAAGTTCTTATTTGCTTTTACTTCAACAGATTAATATAGTTATCAAATGTGTTAATTAAAATAATAATAATTTGTTATTTCAAATAATAACTATAATATTGTTGATTATTATTATTATCATTATTATTTTAATAATAATAAGGCAAGGTCATAGAAGATGATGGAATAGAACTTGAGAATGAAGAAATGATAAAGGCAGTAAAATCAGAATAAGGCTACAAGTACTTGGGGATTTTACTTTTAAAACATATTTTTTATTTCCATTTTCATAACATACAATCACATGTATACTATACATAGCCAGTATCATATAGTAATAAATAATGATTACAACAGTTCCTCTTGTCATCAACGCCCCCC